ATATTGAGAAAGAAATATATATATATATATTATATTATTAATAGAATATCCCCCATTATTTTTGAAAAATTAACGAATATATTTTTTTAAAGTGACAACTTTGGTAAAAATAATTTTGTCAACAGATGAAAATCTCAACATTTCCTTCTTCTATCTCTCTCTTTTTCTTTATCTTTCCAAGATCCTTTCGTTCTTCTCTCAATTTTCCCGACAGCCCGTCAGCTGTTATCTTCTCGGCACCGAACTTTGTCGATAGTGGGAATACTCGTATCGATGTAGGCAAAGATGGATGCAAAGATGTAGGCAAAGATGGCGCACAAACGTCGACGTTGACTGCTTAAGTAGATGCGTGGTGAACGATTATTCCGAAATGTTTCGCGAAATATCGCGCTACCTCTGTTGGCTCGCAGCATTTAATTCAAGAGCGTAGGGTTTTTATCACGGAGCAAGAGAGGTATATTAGACGCTTTTTGTACGCGTTCCTCTCTCACGTGCGCGCGCCCCTAAGTACCGCTCGAACTTGGTTTTGGAGCGGGTGCCGACAACGATGAAGAGGGCGAAATCGGCCTGGCCGTTTTATCGCGGCTCGCCGCTGAGCAAGCAGGGACTCCATCTCTCACGCAACTTCAGGATTTGATGCATGTGCCGCCGGAACATTTGTTCGATCCCCCTCGAGTCTTCCCCGTTCTCTCCGCCGTTTCTCTCCTCTCGGGCGCTTCTCCCCTCCGGCTTGCTCTTTCCTCTCTCCTCCAGTGTCTTCCTTTCTCTCGAATTTCTTCCTCCGTCGCGTCCTGTTCCGCGTACCCCGCGTCACGGTTCCCGCGAGAGTATTGGACCTTCCGTCTCCACGGTAGGCAGGTTTATTTTTATTCCATACGATTCATTCGATTGAACATGACTTGTGGTTACAGCCCCGGCGATATATTTCCGATATTACGGGACGACATTCCAACTCTCGTGGTCCCGCGAGTCTCTTGTATTCTTTGCCCATATCGCTCGTCCGCCCCTTTCCCCGCGCTCGCTCTCTCGACTACCGCCGACCGCGGTAAAATACGTACGATCCTCTCTAGAATAATAGCGGCTTCCGGGGAATTCATGGGTGTACCCCATCCGCGGCGTTAGCGCGGGGGCGATGGGGTCGTTGCAGCTGGTTCGATTTCAGAAATTAGCCCCCGGTATTTCCGGCGCCTCGTGGAAACCCTTTTGTCGGGTGAGGGTCGTCCGGCGGAAGACGGATGCTGCCGCGTGGTGATCCGTTAACCCACATACGGAGATGCACTTGAGCGCAGGAAGCCCTTGTTAGTAACTTGTCTTAATTGCGGCCGTGAGTAATTGCGGCCGTAGAGGAGCCAAATCCATTTTCGTGAAAGTGGCAGGCAATTGATTCTTGATGTGTACATCACTTTCTGATATTAATTATCAGTTTATCGCGCTTGGAGCATTTTAATTAATTTTGATATTGATATCAAATGTCGAATCTATTATACTACAAAATATTGGGAGACAGAAATGTCCGACATAACATGCCCGCAATGGACACGGTGTAAGATCAATTTAAAGAAACTAAAGTCTCATTTAATGCTTGTCACGTTAATAATAAAATTTTCGCAGACGATGCAATATCATTATTACTGAAATGTATTCGTAAAATGCGGACCGTAATAATTGCGCGACAACGTTAATTCATTTCTCTTCTCGCACGAATAATTTTCTATGTAAATACGCGCGCATACATAATAGTCTCTCTCTCCCTTTCTCCCATCCCTATCTCCTCTTGCCGCGGCCCTCTAATTAACACGTTACGCTGTCCTAACGCGTCGCTTCCCCCGAAATCGATATAGCGCGGCATTAATTATTGCTTTACGATGGTCCTTGATTAAATCACGATATCGCTGGTTAGCGTCGACTTGGATGTCGTAACCAATAGTCGTACCCATCCGGTAAACACTTTGCCGTACGCGCGCGTTTCGTCGGGGAAAATTCAGTTTCCCGTTCGCGCATTAACTTCATTTTGTAATATCATCGCTATCGGGACATTGCGCGGCTAACGATACTGTCGTAATTGCGCGTGCCACGATATAACTAGATACTCAGTAACGATCTCAACGACGTTAATATCTTTTATTGGTTTTCCTGCAAAATGTTTTTTTGTAAATATAGGCGTACCGTTTGCCTTTAATTTGAATGAAGGGGCGCCCGAAAAAACGCTGCGAACGCAAAATTTATTAGATGATTGTTTTAACGGAAAGAAAATTGAAAAGTAGGAAATTAATAAACGACAAACACAAAGTAAAGAGAATTTCTCTATATAATGATAAAATTATTAGTTTATACAAAATAAATTGTGTATCATTATATAAAAATTTTTTATTACAAATTTAATACAAAATTTATAGTCATTACTATAATTAAGATTTTGTAGATTATAATGCTAAGGATTTATTTCACGGCATCAATTTATCGATTTTTTTTACTTATTGATAAATTTTAAAAATATTCAACGGAATATCCAGTTTTAATTAATACTATTTTGATGATAACCGTTCGATTGAAAATTCAATAATTCATTTTAGCTAATACCCAAAAGTCGTAAAGGTTACTAATTAAGTCGCGCTATGTCATTGTTAATTAACTGATGTGTTGGCATTATACAATATAATAACCGTCGTTGTGTGTGGGAGCAATCAGACAACTAACAGCAAATTTGAATTATTAGTTAATGAATAGCAATATTGCGGAAACTCCCGTTTCATTCGATTATTTCCGAGATTGGTAGTGGCTCGTGGCATAGTGATTCACTATTTAAAGTGGAGACTTCAGAAAGGTTCTTACGTTAAATGGCACAAATAAAATCCATTCTGATCCGATTTAATTCGCGAGTGCCGGCCACTGTTAAAGAATGACATAGCGAATGTGATTAACAAAAATTACGAATCAATGAATATGATTGATAATCATCTTAAAAAGTCTAATATGTATTAGTGTGTATTTATGAAAGATTGTTTGTATCGATTTTCTAACTATCTCATCACTTATAAACGGATTGCACAGTATTCGTTTAATGAATGAGAATTTATGTGAGAACTTAAAATTGTGCTCGTAATTTATGCACAAAAAATAATCGGAGCCTTTCCATTTTGGTCTTTGATCTGATTTCGAAGCACTTATACTGGCGGAGCAGCGCTCTTAGAATAATCGATTCTAATGGGAAAAGAAAATTCTTTCAAATGATTCAAGAAGCATTTTAATAAAATTGATAGATTTCCAATTGTTATAATTAGGAAATTGAATATAACGTACGCATAATGGTTTAACAAAAATAGGAAAGAAACTCTGACTCTTTATTTTCTTTCGATTTGATTCTTATATGTCTTTTATAATCCGCGTAAAATTTAAAAAATAAAGCGAAATATTCGAAAACAGAGATTTCAAAACAGATTTAAATTTTAATTCTGCTAAATATGCCTCTGATGTGTTCCGATAATATATTTGATAAAATCTTTTTCATCTTCTCTACCGTGTCAAACATAATGTTGATTTTGTTTGTGTGAGAATTGAAATAATCGGAAAATAAATTTTGATTTGCGTTTATGATTGTCCGCTCTTGATCAGTTACACTCAAAAATTTTAATTAAATCGGCAATACGCTTTTAAAATATATTAGTGAAATCTGCCGATTTAAATTGTAAAAAAATAATTCTTTAATCTGATATACATAGTATCACAAAAAACGAGAGACTGAAATAAATAAACAATTCAGATCAATGAATAATTATAATGCGTAATAATCGAGAAAATATATATTCGCCTCTGCAGAGGTGGAGGTATCCTATTATGCATTAAACCCATATAATATTCCATTATTGGTTTGAGAACTTGCCCTTTAATAATTCATTCCGATTCGCTGTTGTTACAGAACAGGGACAAAATACGAGTAAGAAAAAGACGACATTTTCAAGGCTATTACGAGGATTGAAGACCCATAGGAAAGAGAAACAAGGCCAACAAACTCAAGGCTCTCCCAGGCACGGTCGCGCAAGGATGGGCGTTCCTCAAAGGGTAAGTGTATACCCACATAATATATTAAAGACACTAGGTATGAAAAAATAACGATGACATCTCGTCAGGCCAATCATTGAATTTGGCATGAGTAAAAAATTAAAATATCGCACTAACGGGACCGATGCTCGGAATGCACAATTTTTGAAATTTCCCAAAGCTCTCAATTTTTCTCTTTTTCCTCTTTTTTTTTTTTTTTTATCAGCACATTTGTCATACCATATGTACGCACTCCAGGGAGTGCGGCAAACGAGATAAAATTGCATTTTGCTTCACCGTTGCATTCGTTTTGATCATCGCGTAAAGAACTTTTTCAAAGGCGAGTTTGCGCGCGTAACCGGAAAGCGCTATTTAATTATACTTCGCAGATCTACTTGATATTTTCGCGGATATAAACGCGTAAATCTATGTCACGTAATTGCGTGACTGTACGACATTATCGTGTAAAATGTTGAAGTTCCTGCGAGCTCTTTCGACGACGAAATATTAAACTTCACGCGGTGCTCTTCGACGAGAATGCAGGATAATTTCCATCGCCGTTACTTCCGCTGGCGCTTTTATTAAACACGTCCAACCGGCAGCGAACTGCCACACGAGAATGACGGAATTCGGAGGTTCTCGTCCATCTATTTACTATGCATGCCTGTTTTTCGGTACGCTGGAGAGCACTTTTCTCTTTTTTTCTTTCTCTTTCTCTCGTCACTCTGAAAAGTCACTGTCCGACGCGGTATCACTCGTTTTTCATGTGAATTGCACCACTCAGTGGCCAAATGCTCAGCTTTAATATGCGCGTTAATGGCGATTCGTTTTTTCGCCATTAAGCTGCCCTGTGTAGATTGCTGAGTATAATGTGTGTGTGTGTGTGTGTGTGAATAAATATATATGACATACGATATAAAATGAAATAATCTATAACTAAATCAGAATAATACTTCTGCTGTTCTCTTCTATTCTTCTTGTCTCAAGTTTAATATAATATTTAGAATAAAAATCAAAAAATTATAAAATTTAAAATTTATTCTAGACTTTAATTTTAGCAAAGAAAATTGCAAGAGTAGAAGGTACTTGAATCGCTTTCGCATAGTTTTGCATTATCTTCTTCAAGAATTGAACATAAGAGCAAGAGATTATCATAAGAAAATTTATTTATTGATCAATTTCTATTCTAAGTCACCGTTTCACATTGATTATCTGATTGTATTTGAAAACTACATAACGTGTATTAAATCATTAACATTGATAAAATTGATTGGGAAAAAGAGAGAAAAAGAGATACACGATAATTATATTCTCGTAAATTAATATTGGAAAATTTATATCTACTAGAAAATATTGCAGACAAATTTTATACTAAATAGCAACCAATATCAAAATAACTTGTATTAATTTATCCATCGATACATCTGTTAATTTATAAACCACTATGATCGTAATGTTTACATCTCCGTATATCGATTTGTAAAACTGCGAGTTTAAAACGAACATTATATTTCATTTTTATTTGCCGAGAAATTCTCATCCTACGCATTAATCCGAGCAATGAAGATCGCGGTAGGTAGGTAACAACCGCAGCTCGTTTATTTCCCTGGCGCATTCTCATATTTCGTTCGACGAAATGTTTTTCATCGAATATCGCGAAAATGTATCCAATTAAAAAAACTGCCGTTAATCGTTTTGCGCCGCATTCTATAGGATGTAACGATTATCGATTTGCTGTTCACCATGATATGGTATTTTGACCGCTCTCCCCTTTGACGATCTCGGTAAACCCCAATAGGAGCACGATGCAACAAATCGCAATTAACAGATATTCACGAAAATCAATAATATCGCTCGTTTTTATACAATTCTATTATTTTATCATGCAAAAGAGAGAGGTTTCCCAAAAATTTCATTTAATGTTTTTTTTTTCATTAATCTCTGTTATATCGGCATGAATAATACAGCCTCAGTTTGTGAAATTGTCATAATAAGCTACGATTATATTCTCACAAGCGGCCCACTTTCGAATTGCTGTATAATTCGTATAGTATCGAGTATGACACCAATTGTGTGCTACCTCGTGAAATAATTACGACTGACTTCTCTATTTTGCAACCGCACAGGTCATCGAAATAATTATGCTCGTATTATAATAAATCTTCCATCTGTGAATGGCGCGAGATATTATTTAATAGCAATTATGTACATACACATATATGTACGGATGCAAACATTGAATTCGAATCGGTCGCGAACCGAGAGAATGAAAATAACGCAACTCGACACGTGGGAAATTCAGGTTATACATTTTCAACGCAAAAGGAAAGAGGGGCTCCATGCATCCGTAAGTGCTGCTGAAGAAGTAAAGACACCTAAGATTTCCCATGTGTCGCCAATTTGTTAACCTGCGTCGACGACTCCGTCGTCCCATGGGATCCCACCGTCGCCAGCGCATCTAATTTTATCCGTGGATTAGTCGCCCGATATGTATATATGTTCCGAGATATCACGGAATAAGCTCGGGGACTGCGATTCATATCTAAGAGTAGACACTGAGTCGCATGTATGCGTGTGTGTAAGTTTAATGAAGTTTTAACCTAATAATATCGCTCGTTTTTATACAATTCTATCATTTTATCATGCAAAAGAGAGAGGCTTCCCAAAAATTTTATTTAATTTTTTTTTTCTTCATTAATCTCTGTTATATCGGCATGAATAATACAGCCTCAGTTTGTGAAATTGTCATAATAAGCTACGATTATATTCTCACAAGCGGCCCACTTTCGAATTGCTGTATAATTCGTATAGTATCGAGTATGACACCAATTGTGTGCTACCTCGTGAAATAATTACGACTGACTTCTCTATTTTGCAACCGCACAGGTCATCGAAATAATTATGCTCGTATTATAATAAATCTTCCATCTGTGAATGGCGCGAGATATTATTTAATAGCAATTATGTACATACACATATATGTACGGATGCAAACATTGAATTCGAATCGGTCGCGAACCGAGAGAATGAAAATAACGCAACTCGACACGTGGGAAATTCAGGTTATACATTTTCAACGCAAAAGGAAAGAGGGGCTCCATGCATCCGTAAGTGCTGCTGAAGAAGTAAAGACACCTAAGATTTCCCATGTGTCGCCAATTTGTTAACCTGCGTCGACGACTCCGTCGTCCCATGGGATCCCACCGTCGCCAGCGCATCTAATTTTATCCGTGGATTAGTCGCCCGATATGTATATATGTTCCGAGATATCACGGAATAAGCTCGGGGACTGCGATTCATATCTAAGAGTAGACACTGAGTCGCATGTATGCGTGTGTGTAAGTTTAATGAAGTTTTAACCTAGCAATTATTTATGTTGACTTAGCTACAAGATACACAGTTTTACTTATATTAATATAGGTTGTGCATTGCACACGATTAGTTCAATTAAATTATAGTCAACATTATCGATCCTAGAACTCGTGTAAGAGTTATTTTAATAATAGAAACATAAAACAATAGGAATGAATATTTGATATCTCAATTCGCGCGTAATTGCAATTTCGATTTAAAATGCAATTACAGGTAAAATATCGCGAAATAATTCTTTTTTTGTATTAATTTTTTACACGGTTTTTATACAATAGCTATTATTATCTCCATATTGTCTCTATTTGCTGTATGTATCGGAACAACAAAAAAAAATATATAGATGTATGTTTTATATTTGCATTTGCAAATAGTCGAATTTACCCTTCAAAATGCCCTAGTAAATCGCAGTTACTGCGTGTCGTTCTTTTTTATATTAGTTTTTCGGAATTTTGATAAAATTGTTACGCGATATTTCTCTCGTAGTATATACGCGTACGTCTATCAGGCATGATTTCCCTGAATAAATCTCGAAGGTAAATAAAGCTTAAAATTATAAACTAGCGACGAGTATATATATATACCGGATAAAAAGTTTTCTGTAAATGAATTTTTCCGAGGTTTGCACACTGAAACACGCTGCCAGTGTCACTCTCGTGTATTAACGACAAACAGGCCGAGGGTGAGTCGCGCTTGATATCTGTATGCGTATTCCGTCCGCGTACATAGACCATGTCACTGTGTGCGCACGCGTCTGCACCCGTGCATAATGCGGGCAGTCGACGAGCCTGCAAGTGCCAGCAATGTGATCCCACGCTTGGTTAAAAAAAAAAAAAATAAATATATATATATATATACATATGCGCATATATGGATTTGTGTACCATTCTTGTGGTCACATCTGAATTTAGAGCACAAATGCATCTTCGAATAGAGAGAACGTTAACTCGTTGACCCGCGCAAATAAATTTATGCGTATACAATTCGGAAAAATATATTTGCGTTACGCTCAGCGATAAAGTGCACGGTGTATTTTTCAGCGACGCTTTTCTGAGCTTTTATGGATACGTGAATTAGGAAGGAAGTAGATTTTATCTTCTTCTTCTCTCTCGCATATTTATGTGTGAAGAGAAACATTGCGAGAAATTTGTGCAGAGTTTTCATAATATTTTATAAGAACATTTTTCTGTTTACTATGTAAACATGAAAAATGCCAAGGCAAATAAACGATAAAATTGATTAGGTAGCTTTGAAGCTTTTTTTTTTATTTGTTTGATTATGAAAAATCGATGCATATATAAATTATATATTTTGAAATTAAATCTTGGGGAATTGCACGATACAGTTCTTCTTGTCGCAAGATTCCACAATTTTCTATTGCTAGAAAGATTTTTGTAGTATTTTCCTGGTCGATTATAAAAACGCAGATGGACACTCAACAAGTGAACGCTTTCGTGCTCCTTTCGTGGTTGCATAAAATATTACATTATAAATTAAATGCTGTCAACTTTAATAAAATGAATTATGTATTCACGGATGTGTCAAAATGAAAAATGTCACATATAACAAAATTTAAATAAATCAGAAAAATTTACACAAAGTTTAAAAAGCTGAAATTTTTATATATTAACGTAGGAAGCTTCTGCGTGAAT